AGAAAAAACTCCCTTCTTAATCTCCTTTACCTCCAAGCTTCTATCATCCCACATTAGAAGAATACCCCCGACACTTCCCGCTGCTAGAACCCAGTCATATTTTACCCAACTACCTCCCCAGACACTCCTCACAATCACATCCGACAAAACTTCAATTTTTGTCTCCTGAAAGCAAACTAGGTTAGCACCCCACTCTCTAACTCCCACTTTGATGATGACCCTTTTGTTTGGGTCATTCATCACCTTCATATTCCATGAAAGAATTTTAACTTCCATAAGAAACAATATCCTCCTTCTCCCCACCCCCTCTAACTGAGTTCCCTTCCTCCCTGTCACATACCCGGCCCCTTCTCTGGTACACCACTACATCCCCTAAATTATTTTGCTTAACACCTTGACCCAACTCCCTCCCTGCACCATCATAACAAGATTGTTGCTCAATCTCCCTCAATAGTTCTAACATCCTATCTTCCTTCCCTTCAAAAGAAACACCTAGAAACTTTCCAAAGTTTAATAGTTTATCCTCCATCTAGAAAGACATATCCCCTCCTCCAATCCGTGACGAGATTGGACAGGCGTCTTCTATATGCACCCTTTCCTTGCCCCTACCGGAGGAATACAAGACCATAGCATTGCTAGCAATAGGAACTTTAGGTGTCGAAAGGATCTCGCCATTTCCTTGAGGGGTATCAATCTCAGAAATTAGCACCCCGCTGCTACAGGAATGACCAGAAACACCAGTAGGGTAGCAGGAAGGAGGAGAGTATGGAGCCTTTGGCGACATCTTAACTGGAAATACTGGTCCGGCACTAATATCAGATGGGGCATGCTCAACAATCTTCCCAGAAGAATAAGAAGCTTGAAGTGTAGCCTCAACACAACTAAGCCCAGGAGCAGATGAGGGGGCGATGGAGCTGGGTCCATCAGAGGCGGGAGGTCGTGGAATAACAACACCATGTATAGCCAGTGCCACCCCTGAAGCAGCGTCTGCCACTACATTACTTGTGCGCAAAGGGAGGCCACACTAGTTTTGCGCAAACAAGACATAAAGGAAAAACAAGTTGGCCTATACTATTTACTACTTCCAGACACACAATTCTCACGGAGCACGTGAGTGCCACAGAGTAAAAGTCAATGTACGAGAAATAGACTTCCAACTGCAAAGCTCCATTTCTCCCAGAGAAGAGTCCCATGCATCTGTGCATAAACTGACTCAAGTATGAATAGTAGGTACACTTGCAAAAGGTGAACGAACTTTTTACACTCCCCAAAGTCATGTTGCCACAAATTGAAATAAATGAGTTTATGCTAGCGGAAAATATAGAGAACTTCCACTACCTTTATTTTTATTTTTGTTTTGCATAATATCCCAGATGCCCCAGTGAGAAGGTGTGAGAGATTGACAATGGTGGGCCTCAGTAGAGGCAGAGGTAGACCGAAGAAGTATTTGGGAGAGGTGATTCAGCATACTGAGGAAATAACCCTTGATAGGAGGGTGTGGGGGTCGAGGATAAAGATAGTAGGTCAGTAGTTAGTCGTGCGTTTCTCTTCTACATACCGGTAGTATTACTTTACTTTCCAAGTTCTTACTTTTCTATGATTATCTGTTAATTCTTTGCTTCGGTTATCTTATTTTCTTGTTATTGTTACTGCTTTGTTTGTCCTTTTATTGATTATTGGGATTATGCTTTCCTTGAGCCGAGGGTCTATCAGAAACAACCTCTTCACCTTCACAAAGGTAGGGGTAAGGCTGCGTATACACTACCCTCCCCAGACCCCACTTGTAGGATTTCACTGGGTTGTTTGTTGTTGTTGTTTTGCATAATATTCGCCATAGATATTAAATGGACTTACATGGTCAGTGAGGATTCACATATTCGACCCCGACTTATAGCCAATTTGGCCAAGTTTCTCCAAGTTGAAAAGTACTTTTTTTTCCTCAAAAAAATGCTTTTTTTTTCAAAGTGGAGTGTTTGGCCAAGCTTTTAGAATTTTAAAAAATTGCTTTTGAGTAGAAGTAGAAGCAGTTTTGTAGATGCAGAAAAAAATAACTTCTTCTCCGAAGCACTTTTTTGAGAAGCACTTTTGAGAAAGATACACTTAGAAGCACTTTTTAAAAGCTTGGTCAAACACTAATTGCTGCTTAGAAGTGTTTTTCTAATTAATTAGTCAAACACAAACTGCTTCTCACCAAAAGTACTTTTAATAATAGCACTTCTACAAAAAAAACACTACTCAAAATAAGCTAATTTTTCCAGCTTGGCCAAACAGGCTATTACTTGGAATTCAGGCGTAGTTATTGTTATAGTACTCCAATATTCCAATTACCAAGTTCCTACAATATGTTTATTTTCTTGCTGTTGTTACTGCTTTGTTTGTCCTTTCATTGATTGTTGGGATTATGCTTTCCTTGAGCCGAAGGTCTATCGGAAACAACCTCTCTACCTTCAAAAAGTTAGGGGTAAGGTTGCGTACACACTACCCTCCCCAGATCCCACTTGTAGGATTTCACTGGGTTTGTTGTTTTTGTTATTTTGCATAATATTGGCCATAGATGATATTAAATGGACTTACATTATCCGTGAGGATTCATATATCCGACCCCGACTTGCTTGGGATTCAGGTGTAGTTGTTGTTATAATACTCCAATATTCCAATTACCAAGTTCCTACAGTATGTTCCGGAAAAAACCAACCTATTTGTTCACTCCATTACATTTTTCTACTCTAATATGCTATAATTAATAAGAGTTTAAGTTATGTACACGGTTAGCGTAAAGAATTTTACACTACAGGTCACCCCAAAGATCTATACAGGTAAGCCTCAACGAAAATTAAGATTTGTAATCTTGAAAATAGTGCAAATTACCTTTTGTAATAGATAAATGTGACCTGATAGCGTAAAATTTATGTACACCAATAGCGTATATAACTTAAACTCGATTAACAAAGGAAGAAGAAAAGGAACTTCTAGGGCAAGCCCTGGTACTAATTCTAAGGAACTCAACAAATTACAGGACCAATTGAAACCAGAAACGCAAAATTCTTCACCAGCAAGAAAAATAGGGTAAGAGGAGGCACCTAATACAGAGAAATATGTAACTATTATCAGTAGATAATTCCCAACAATTGAGATTTCTTACTATTTATCAAGCCAACTTGACCCATTATTTGTTTAAAGCCTTTGAAAGTCCTTTCCCCCAACATGAGATTCGGTTTGTAGTCCATCCCAAATATATTATCACTTAAGTTATGACTCTTTCACATGAGATCAGTAAAAAATAACACAAAACATCTGTAAATAAAATAAAGGAGAACATCGTAAGGTTATTTCTTACAATTCAAATTGTAAATGGGCGCAGGAGATCATTTCCTCTACAACAAACGAAAGTTTTCACATTTATACTAGTTCAAAACCAAATATTAAATTTCACGATCAACTACTCACACACAAAACGACGAACTAAAAATTTAAATAGATGAACTTCAAGATTAAAACATCAACATGTAATTAAAAATGAAAATTGAAGGACGCAATTAGAAATTATACCGGGTCAAGAACATTGGGTTCAGGGCCATAATCAGCAGTGAGAAGAAAATAGGAAGCAGTGACAGTAGCCACCATAGTCGTCCTTCTTACGAGTTTATCAGTTCTGGGGTTCATTTTTCCTTCGCGAATTCTGAACTGGGGAAAGCAGGGTTCGTTTTAAGAAACAATGAAACTATTGGGGGTTAGAAAGAAATAAGAGAGAATTTTTAAAATGTAATTAGTAGAAGCGATTTGAAGAGTTTAGAAAGTATTGGGTATTAGGAAAGCTACGCTGCTCTTTTTGAAATATCTTTGAGGGTCCAAACAGTGAGACAGGGTTCCTAGGAGGTCTTATGGAGCTCCCCCGGAGGCTAAAGGGATTTCGGTTGCCTATATTAGGGTGATTAAAGACATGTATGATGGAGCTAAGACTCAGGTTAGGACAGTAGGAAGCGACTCCGAGCACTTTCCGGTTATTACGGGGTTGCACCAAGGGTCTGCGTTTAGCCCATTCCTATTTGCCCTGGTGATGGATGCACTAACTCATCATATTCAAGGGGAGGTGCCATGTGCATGCTATTTGCTGATGACATAGTTCTAATTGACGAGACACGAAGCGGCGTCAACGAGAGGCTAGAGGTTTGGAGACATGCCCTTGAGTCTAAAGGTTTCAAGTTAAGCAGGACGAAGGCGGAATACCTTGAGTGCAAATTTGGGGTCGAGCCAACGAAAGTGAGAGTGGACGTGAGGCTTGACTCTCAAGTCATTCCCAAGAGGGGTAGCTTCAAGTACCCTGGGTCGGTTATTCAGGGGATCGGAGAGATCGACGAGGATGTCATACACCGTATAGGGGTGGGGTGGATGACGTGGAGGTTAGCGTCGGGAGTCCTGTGTGATAAGAAAGTGCCACCGTTACTAAAAGGTAAGTT